GCTATAGTAGCCCTGGAGACAAATTTGTTGTTGTTAAGTGAGCTTGAGTTGATTCAGACTTACAGCAAGCCTGGATAAGGTTTCCATGGAGCAGCTGGTGGGTTTGAAGTGCAGACCTTGTGGTTTGCCGTCCAGTGCCGATACTGTACTGCTACACAGGAGTCCGAGGAAGACTTAGAGAAGGGGGAATGGAATCATGCTTGGTGAAGTGGAGGGTCAGCAAAAAAGATGACCCCAACAAAATGGATTGACACTGTCAACAACAATGGGCTCGAACATAACAGCAATTGTGAAGATGGCACAGGACCAGGCAAGGTTTTGTTCTGTTGTTGCTGTGAGTTGGAGCAGACTTGATGGTATCTAACCTCCATGGAGTCCTGGTGTGGTGCTGTGGGTTAATGCGCCAGACTGCAAAGCCGTTGGAACTGCAAGTTTGGCGGTTCAAGCTCACCAGTTGCTCCTTGGAACTGTATAGGGTCGCTATGGGTCAGATCCAACTCGACGGCACTTAAGAACAACAACAATCTCCATCACAACATGAATCTATAATTATTTGAAAATAAAAAGTTAAAATTTATCAACTTTTATCAATTTTTGCAGGACTTACACACACATACACACACACACATCTATCTATCTATCTATCTATCTATCTATCTATCTATCTATCAAATTAGGTTAAATGCTGCATTTCCTACCTCTCTCAACTAAGCTAGGATGACAATGGAAGTAAGGACATCAATATATTTATATAACATTATTTGAATATACAATGCTATAAAAATGAAGGAGCTCTGGTAGCGCAGTGGTTACAAATCGGTCTGCTAATCTCACAGTTACCCGTTCGAAACTACCAGCTGTTCCACGGAAGAAGGATGAGGCTTTCTGTTCCTGTAAAGATTTACAGCCTCAGAAACCCTGTACAGGGTTGCTATGAGTCGGAACCGACTCCATGGCACATAACAACAACAACTCTAAAATTACGCATTCAATCTTATTAGATTGTGCCCTCCTCAAAGTATAGACCACATTTGAATCATTCTTCTATCCTAAGCACCTAGAACCATTCCTCACATATCAAAGGCATTTAATATATATTTGCTAAGTGAAGATTTCAGGAGAGCCTATCATTAGCTAGAAGATTAGCGACTACGGTCATACAATTTAAACATCTTGACCTTTGTTGACAACTGCTATAAAAATTTCTTTTTCCCTTCATGTCTAGTTCTCAGGAACAAGAAGGAGGAAGAAATTTTGGCTCCAGGGAAAGTTGATGTTAGTTACACTGAGAGAAAAATGTCAAGATGGAACTTTAACAAACAATAGCATCTAGAAAATGGTAGGCATATTCTGATAGTGAATCAAAAAAACTCTAAGAAGTAAGAGAAAAGATCACATGCCTATATGGGGTGTATGTATATTCAGAAGTCCCCAAGTTGTGAACATCTGACTTACGGTCAACTCATACACCTTCACCAGATGGGATGGATACACAGGAATCAAACTGACTGCATCTTTGGGATGAGACAATGGAGAAGCTCAATATAATCAGTCAAAACAAGGTCAACGGCAGACTGTGAAACAGATCATCAATTTCTCATATGCAAATTCAGGTGCAAGCTGAAGAAAATTAAAACAAGTCCATGAGAGCCAAAATATAACCTTGAGTATATTCTATCTGAGTTTGGAGACCATTTCAAGAATACAGTTGATGCATTAGATACTAATGATTGGAGACCAGAGGAGTTGTGGGATGACGTCGCAAACATTACACATGAAGAACTCAAAAGGTCATTAAAAAAACAGAAAAGAAAGAACAGACCAAAATGGATATCAGAAGAGACTCTAGAACTTGGCTTTGAATGTTGTTGTTAGTAACTGCCGGTGAGTCAGTTTCAGATCATAACTACCCTTTATAGGGCTACAAAAGAAAAGCTGGTAGGTTTGAACTGCTGACTTTCTCATTAGCAGTCCAGTGCTTATCCTACAGCACCATACCAGGATGTAAAGAAGCTAATGTGACTGGGAAAAAAAAAAAAAAAAGATGACGTAAAAGAGCTAAACAGAAAATTTTAAAGGGCAATTTGAGAAGATGGAGTAAACATTATAATGAAACATGCAAAGACCTGGAGTTAGAAAACCAAAGGGAAGAACATGTGCAGCATTTCTCAAGCTGGAAAAACTGAAGCAAAAATGTAAGTCTCAACTGGGCAAGATTGAAGGATTCGATGGACAAAATATTAAATGATGCTGAAAGTATCAAAAGAAGATGGAAGGAATATACAGTCACTGTACAAAAAATAATTGGCCAGTGTTCAATCATTTCAAGAGGTAGCATATGACCAAGAACCAATGATACTGAAGGAAAAAGTCCAAGTTGCACTGAAAAAACATTGGTGAGAAACAAGGCTCCAGGCATTGACGGAATACAGATGAAAAAGTTTCAACAAATTGATGCAGCACTGGAGGCACTCAGGTGTCTATTGCAAGACGTTTGGGAGACAGCTATCTGGCCAACTGATTGAAAGAGATCCATATTTTTGCCCACTCCAAAGAGAGGTGACCCAGAAGAATGAAAAAACCATCAAACAGCATCATTAATATCACAAGCAAATAAAATTTTGCTAAAGATAACTTAAAAATGATTGTAGCAGTACACTGACATGGAGCTGCCAGAAATTCAAACTGGATTCAGAAGTGGATGTGGAATGAGGGATATCATTGTTGGCACTAGATAGATCTGGGCTGAAAGCAGAGAATCCCAGAAAGAAGTTTACTTGTGCTTTATTGATTCTGCAAAGACATTCAACTGTGTGGAGCACCACAAACTATGGACAACATTGCAAAGAATGGGTATTCTAGAACAATTGTGCTCGTGAGGATCCTGTACATAGACCAAGAGGTAATCATTCAAACACAGCAAGGGGATACTGAATGGCTTAATATCAGGAAAGGTGTGCG